TAAAACTCTGCTGTATAAATACAGTTTAAAGTTAAATGGAGTAGTGTTACACTTTGTTGAAAAGTGTGCATATGATATGATTGTGTGATTGATCAACCGCCGACTGCTCCAAATTCTTCAAATTTGAATAATAACTTCATGTACATTTGAAGTTCCCGTTTTCCTTACAACAGCACTATGTAGCGAGAAAGATCGACAGTCCCTGGCTCAGGATTAACCGGTTTTGTGCTTCATTACTCAACGACCTATTTCATTTTTTTTCTCCTTGCATAAACATGGCTGACAGGTAAACATGGCATGCATAAATTGTTACACAGCATATACACACAACAGGAAATATATTTCCAAGAAAAAGAAAAAAAGAAAAAGAAATTGACGCTATCCATTTTGCGGAGGTAATGCTCATTCATATATACACTTTATTTATTTTACATCAATTATTAAACAAGTTATTTCAACTGATCTTAATCACTCCTGTTGGCCCAGATGTTAGAGGGTATGGTGGTGTTTAAACCTCCTTGTAATAGCGCGGATCTGATGTCGACTTTATAGTGCTACCTCACTGAAATACCATGCCAAAGGCGCCCATCACAGCATTCCACCCGGTCACATTCGACAAAATTGAGGTGTTGCCAAGCAAGGCACTAGGAAATAAAAGGCAGCTAGAAGAAGAAAGAAATACAAAGATCCAACATATTGTTGTGGAGCCAGCAGATTAATTTTAGTCGCTTTTATGTCCCCAAGTATAGGACACAAAAGCAATTCCCAAATTCTACCGGGGGTTCCCGCATTAGTTGCCTCTTAAAATACATGCGGTAGTTAACAGAATGTGTTGTCTTTTCTCAATTACCCCACCTGTAGGGGTCGTCCGATCAGGGAATCGAACCCTGGCCGCCTTGGTGAAAGGTAAGTGTGCTATCCACTGCGCCACCAGACTACCCAAATGCTCATTTGGTGTTTTTAATATTTTTATAAATGTGCATGATAGGGAAATGTAAGGCCAGATTTCCAAATTTATTCAGGTAACTTAATTACTGACAAAAACATTCTCAAGAAATCAGTGATCAAAAACCTAACCAGAGGTACATGAGAAGATATCACTGAGTACATTTTGATAAGGAAGAAAAGAAAAAAGATTTTTGGTAGCATCAACATCGCTGTCTTAATTTGTATCCAGAAGAAACCTCCATTTCAGGGTTATATATCAATCGTTTCTCACAGCCAATAAATTGAATGCGGCTGGCTAACATTTTAACGTCTCCAATAATTCTGCTGAAGAGTTCTCATATCGCCTTTCCGTCTTGCAGCTATTATGTTTGTTTTCAATCAGTGAACTATGATGTTCATGACGTGTCCTTTAAAACTCCGTAGGTTTGCATGTCCCAATCCGTTGTTGTTTGTTAATACGTGCATTTGTAACTGACAAGCTACGTGAACTAACACACAATATTACAAGCATATTCAATCGGAAGTTGAAGCAAAAACGATAAGTATTATTTAACAAATACGACACCTGCATGTAAAATAGGCTTTCAAAACTTACAGTAGTTTATCATTATTTTTTGCTGCATGTCACAAAGCGCTACACAGCATTACATGGCATTTCGTAGAAGCACAAAGGAACACAAACATTGAACAATGACTCAAAAAACGTGATGATTTTTGACAAATTGATGATTAAGACCTTGAATTCCGTGGTAAGCTTATCACTCCATTGAACCACTTCTACGAAATGTCGTTTAACCTATATATTTGTTTAATGTCAACGTTTTGCTGTTTGGCTTGCACTTTTTATGATGTTGTTTACTTAATTAATACGCGAATTTCTTGTTTCTGACTCTATTTCTGGTTTTTGAATCAAACACTACACATCGATATCAAAACGACAATCGTGTACACGTTGAAAAAACAAAAGCACATCTTACAGACAGGTAAGTGTTTAAATTGAACATTTGTTGATGCATGTATTTATCTATTTATTTATTTATTTGTAACGTGGCGATATTAACTGTATTTCTCTGCAATATACATGTATATTTTGTGTTAAGTATTAAACTGCTTTCAGTTTGCAATCATAGGCAATATGTATGCCAACTGGACAAAGGCAAATTCAATGAAGCGCTTCATGTTGGATTTGCCTTTTTCCAGTTGGAATTCATTTTGCCTATGAATGCCAACTGAAAGCAGTTCAACAATTATACTTATCATTTGTTTAATCTGTTCATCTCATAAAAAATAATTACACTTATTATTATTTAGCATTTAGTTCAAATAATGTATGTATCGTGTATGCTTTTTCAATAAATAGAACAGACATCTCCCAGAGAGGGTCAGTGGTATCCAACGTAACAATTATGACGTCATAATAATGACGAGGTCAATAATCGATCAGTGGCATTCATAACCAATATGAATGCCAACTGAATTTGGTAGGGTTATATAGTGGCAATGCGATACGATGGTAGATAGAACATGCTTAACAAATGTATGATGTTAGGTTACGTATTCTACGTATGTGTGCTAGAATTATTTCTCTTCTTGAATCTTTCTAAAACATTAACGTGTATTGCTGAATGGTATTTATGAACGATTTTTCATTAATTCTATTTTGTTGTGACACGTTATAATTCAGTTTTACCTTTTTTAACGTCTCGTTACAACTATATTGTATTAATATCTAGTCTAACAAAGGAATTCTTCCCTTGGTGTGAAGGCTGGCGTTGGTCATATTGCAATAAAATCTAAAAAGCTTAATCTCATTTTTCCAAAGGACCTTATTCGTGATTTACCATGACTGTCTCTCTTTTCCGTGCTTGTTAGATTGGGAACAAAGGCAGATTAAAAAAAATCACTTTTGTAAACAAATTTAAAATCTAATAAATAAATACAAATTTTGATGAAATAAATCGACATAAGAATAAACCTGATTTATTTATTTAAACAACCTATGTTTATTCTCGGGGGGATAGGGGCACCAAAATAACGTTATTTACAGACAGATTTTTCTTTTTTTTTAATTTTTCAATTCCTCCTGTCAGAGATTTATCATATATCATATATGTATTATACATAGACATGAGCAAACTTTTCACAGAAATGGACAAAATGCGTATAGATTAATGGACTTTTTATATATTATTCGTTAAAAAGAACACAATAAATAAGAAGAAAATTAAGACAAACTGAAATCTGCTGTAAACGCATTTGAGATTGTATCTAATGCTCTCAAATGATCTAAAGTAATAAACACATGTCAACTATATATATGATATATAGGGAAATGTGTACATTTATATTTGTACTGTTCTTATACATATGGTACATAGATGGATAATATATGGTAGTCGGATGATGCAGTTAACAACACACTTGCCTTTCACCAAGGCGACCGGGTTTTCTCCCGGTACTCCGGTTTCCTCCCACAGTAAGACCCCACGCGCGCTTACCTCCAGACCAATAAGAGCGATGAATAAAAGTTGATTATTTCATAATTGCTGTAAAATAAATAAGACTTTATGTTATTTTATTTTATTTTAAAATTGATCATTTTACAACGTGCTGGTATTCATGCTGTACTTTGTACATTTTAGTGTGCGCAAAACATATTTTACGTAAAGAGTAGATTTCCTTCATCATTACTTGTATATTTGCTGTTGCATTCGACATCATTTGTGCTCATTTGTTATCGGATATTTCAATTGCACCACTTTTCAAAAGGTTAATTTAGTCTACACCTGTTTAAAACAAGGAAAAGGAACATGTGCGTTTACGTTGATTCATCACTACTTTGAAATAACTCTGGGCATTGTGTAAGAAAATGCATGCCATTTGCGATTTTTTTGCATAATGCGCACATAACATTTTCTTGTTCCCATGTACATTTTCATTAAACTACATAATTAGTTCCTATGGATATTCCCAGTTTTTTGTTAAACTTGCAGCAAGACGAAGATTCTGGCGGCTCTATGTGCATATCTGTGTAATTCTTGTTTATAACATAAATCACTTATCTAAATGATGTCATTTAAATACAGCATTTTTATAAAGATCGTGCAACTATTTCCTGATGCTATAGTTGTGCATACAGTACGACTTAGTCATAGAAACATGACAGACTATCAAACTTACACATCACATTCAAGATATCAGGTCTGAAAAATCTGTTGTTCGATGCAAAGTTTACAACATGTTGGGCGTTGTCACAAGTATGATTCAAGAGTTAATGAAATTGAACCGAAGTTATAATCGTGAACATATCAGCCAATCAGCGACCAATATAGAACACAAGTGATAGCCAGATATATCTCGACCAATCACAGGCAACGGCAGCCATTCTAAATACTGAAACTTAAAAGTCGATTGGTGCCAAAATGTATACTCCCGTTGTCTCAGAGATCAGTAACTATTTTGTGAAAATGTTGACTTCTTTTTACGCACCAAAAGGTCTTTGTGTGAGCATCCTTTTTACAACTTTGTGTGTTTACACATGGATGTTTCACAACATATACTATTAACATTAACGTTAATTATATCATATGTTCCAAAATATATTTATCAAACTTTCTCAACTAGGACGATCGACAGATCAACAGAGTTCCAAAATCTTGAGGTTTCTTACCCAATTTTCAGCTCTTCTCCATACATATTCATAGGAAAGTAGATAAACATAAGTAAACGTAATACAGGATCAGAGGGATTTAAGTACAAATTAAGAGGCAGATGCCACTTCATGCACGATCCTTTATCTTTATTGTTGGCTAGCATAAGTAAGCAATTAGGATAATGCATAATGTGATAGGATTAAGGCTAGAACTAGAACGAGTCAGTAATGGACTGTCAAGTGCCATGTAATTCCTTCGGTACAGGTAAGTGTAACTTCTAAAAGATAATACATGCTTAGTCGTATCAGTGTTCAATTCATTTATTTGCAGTACAAATGTCTGGGAAACAATTTTGAATGAATACATCATATCTTAATATAGCGTAATATTGTATTACAGAGAGCTGAACGATGACGTTTGATGACGTCATCAAACAGGTGGGAGCGTTTGGACCGTACCAAAGACGCCTCATCCTGCTCGGTTTATTTCCGTACCTCATCTTCGCATTTCAGTTCATGATTCCTATTTTCATCCTGTCAGAACACAAACACCGGTAAAATTTTACATATAAATTTATTCAAAATTACGCAAATACAACTTAAAAATAAAATCGTTTTAAAAAATCAATACTATTCGTTTTATAACTATTGTTAATTATCAAACGCCAATATGGAATTAGCTTTCGTTCGGCTTACGTTCGTTTTGAATGTATCATCTTTCATGTTGACACGAATCAGACACCGATGCAAACAATTTGTTTGTATATGCATAAAAGGCGTGTATACAAACTATACAGTAGTCAAATAAACATGTACATAATAGGCATAATATACATTTAAAAAACTAAATGATACGAATATTTTTAATTTTCCATATACTGCAAATAATAGTTAATTTATTAGATTTTTACAAAATTGTTTTTTTTTTTTTTTATCTGAAGATGAAAATAGATGAAATAAAAAAAATGAAGAATTTCCATCAGTGTTTAATATTTAAATTATTATTCTATGTTACATTTTTTAAATCATGTCTGGCCGTGTATGGTATTTTGGCTTTATATTCCCATATGTGTTAAAATATATATGTTTATGATATAATGCTATCAATAAATTGTATGGAAGGCATTTCATTGATGTTATTGAACACGTTTTCCTAATTGGACAACGGTATTCGGTGATTGACAACTTTTATCTAAATGTCTAAATATATATATTCTATACTGCTCAGATGTAAAGACAAGCAAACGGCATACCCAGAAGACAATATATGGGTGTCAAACGCCTCGCTTACCTCATGCCAAACCCATCACTTCGATAATGTCACAAACACTACGTATGACGTTCAGTGTAAGTCATGGTCCTACGATACGTCTGAACAAACCAGCAGTCCGATTTCGGATGTAAGTATACATATATATAGATGTAAGTAAACATATATATAGATGTAAGTACACATATACCAGGATGTAAGTAAACATAAGTAGGGATGAAAGTATGAATTTATCAGGATGTAGGTAAACATTTATCAAAATGTAAGGATACATATTAGAATGTAAGTAAAAATATGCTAGGATGTTAGTATACATACAGCAGAATGTAAGTAAACATATATCATGATTTTAGTAAACATAAATGAGAATGTAAGTATACATATATCTAGGTGTCAGTATACATATCAACGTGACGTTAATAAATTAATATCCTAACATTAACAAGTTTGTTGAAGGTGGATCTATATTTGTAAAAATATATTTCAAAATCAACTTATTTAAAGGCTAGGTCTTTGTGCAATGATCCAGAGGAATACGAAAAAAACAAGCACTTATTTGTAAAATATATAGATGTAGAAAGCCAAATTAAGTAAACTTTTTAACTAATGTTTTTTTTTTTTTGGTTTCTTTTAATTTTTAATTATTTTTTTTAACAATACATTTACAATTCATTTTTCCATGCAACATACACACACTCATTCCATTTCTAGTCATTAGCAAATTAAATAAACTTTTTAACTAAGGTTGATTTGTTAGCAACTGTTTCTATTACCAGGTCTTCTTTCAGTAGAACACATATTGATTTGTTGGAGCAATCAAACAGAAAACAATTCATTACTTGTTATCCACCAGGGAAAAGGATAAGGAAAAGTTGATATTTCCCTGTTTGTTCAAAATACAGGCAAATTTCTTGGGCTTTCAGGAAATATAAAAAAGTTTCGTTTCTTGATCGTTTTCTTGCATCATCTGTAAAAACGACCAAAAGAAAAAAAAAATCTGTTTAGTTCAATATTTAATACTCAATGGACGATTATTCACAACCTCACTTTCCGGCTTAGTGACATACATTTAGCTGAGATTAGTGTAATATCAAAAAGAGTATAGTCCAAAGAAGACAACATTTGTTTTGAGTTCACGTCTTCTTAACAACTAAGGACCTCCTACCAGATAATGACCTACTTCAACAGGTTGAAGGTCATGTCAAGGTTATGTTCTATTTCTGTGGTGTTCAAGAGGGAGTGATGAATAGGAAATGAGAGTTCTATGCCACTTTATCTCTCCTTCTTTATTTATAGTAAGTCCCTGCCTGACGGGATGGATCAGTGGGGGACCAGTGAGGGATGAGGGACTGACCCCGTGACCTTTTAATTCCCTTTGTGTCTTAATCAAATAATACATACCAACTCAAATAGGGAACATTGAGGTACTGCCTTGCGTCAATTCTATTTTTAGAGAAACCGATTCGGTCCGCTTCTACATTGCGTATCGTAGTTATTTTAAGCCTGGTACACTCGTTACAATAGTAGAGACTGAGTTACACTTCTCGCCATATATAAAGGTACGTTTAGTTACCCTCTTTTCATTTCTCAATCATGAGTTTGAAGGATTATTTAAAAGACATATACTTTGACTTAAACAGTCCTGTTAGCTATGAAGGAACAGAAAAAATCTGCTGATTTCTGAAGAAAGAAGGAAAGTACAAGGTTGGCTTTGATGTTATTCGACCTTTCCTGCAGGACACAGACGCCTACGGTCTACAACGACCACTTCGTTACAAGTTTAAGACCAGAAAAGTGATACCTCAAGGTATCGATGTTTTATGGGACGTAGATCTCGCCGATGTATCCGACCTAGGAAAAGAAAACGATGGAATGCCTTATTTATTCGTTGCCATTGATGTGTTTTCACGTCATTTATGGGTAGTTCCTCTTAAAAACAAGATTCACAACACAATCATTGACGGATTCAAAAGGATTTTTGGTCAGGGCAGACAACCTAGAGATGTCAGATCGGATCCGGGGAGTGAATGGAAAAATAGATGGGTGAAGCAATATTTAGATAAAGAAGGGGTGGGTATTATGTCCCTCATAATGTCACTCATGCAAATTATGCCGAAAGGGTGATCAGGACATTGAAAACATTAATGTACCGATATTTCACGCACAACAGAACCTATTGGTACTTAGACATTTTACAAGACACTGTCCGTAATTACAATGCGAGACCTCACAGCGCACTTGAGGGGAAATCTCTATAACCTATAAAAAGGACGCCATAACGAACTTGTCTTCATTTCCATTTTAGCAGCCATGCAGTGTACATCGTACCCAGAATGTAAAAGAAGTTTCTTGCGAAGAGATGTTCTCTTCAGACACATGAAAACAATTCACGGAGGCAGTCAATCATATCCGCAAACCACTAATGCGTATCCACCGCCACCGCCGCCACCGCAGGAGGTACAGTTGTTGCTGCCATCGCAGGAATTACAGTCACCGCCGCCGCCGCCGCCGCCGCCATCATCACCGCCGCTAACGCCACCGCCACAAGAATTGCATTCGCCGTCCTCGCAAGTGACACGGTCGCCACAACGGGACTTTGTTTTTAAACATCCCTTCACAGCTAACGTGTCTGGTCCTACTTCCTGTGGGAAAACGTACTTTGTTAAAACTATGCTTCAAAATTGTTTGACAAAAATAGAGCCTCCACCTCAGAGAATCATATGGCTGTACAAACGATGACAACCTCTGTATGATGTCATCACAGCAAATGTCAACCCTTCAGCTGAATTTATACAGGGGATACCTCTCGACTTAGATCAAGATTCTTTCATTAATCCGAGTGTTAGAAACCTCATCATACTGGACGACCTAATGTCCACAGCCTCCAAGGATCCGAGAATCAACGAATTATTTACCGAGGGGAGTCACCATAGAAACCTCTATGTCATTGCCATTAATCAAAACCTGTATTACAACAGGGACCCTACACAGATAAGGAATTGTCACTATTTAGTCGTGTTTAATAACCCTGTGGATAAGCAACAAATCATGACGCTGGCTAGGCAAATGTATTCAGAGAATTCACAGTACTTAATGACGCAATTCAGAGAAGCTACAAATAAACCATATGGCTATTTATTGGTGGATCTAAAACCTACTACCCCTGAATATTTATGTAACGTCTTCCCGAATGAATCTATAAATGGATGTACGAATGCGATTTTGATTAATTCTGATCACAACCTTCCTACTGTGCAGACGTATTCTGGAGTCTCTGAAGAAGATACGTATTTAACTGCTGTAGTAGAAGAGCCACAGATCATCAATATGATCAGCAGTGAAGATTGTGGTGTTGTCTTCGAAAACTTACATGATCTCCAGAAACACATTAGGAATTGATGTCCCGATCAATATCCTATTAAGAGAAAAATGTCTGAGGAAGTTTCTGAACCTGACAAAAAAAATGAAATTTGACAGAACGATCTCTGAAGATAGTGAATCGTCCATATATTCATACGACGAAGACGCGGATAACGTGTTTACACAGTTTGCGGAAATATCTAGAGATGAAAACGAAGAACAATGGCAAAAGAATTATGAGAATCAAGGAATGTCACATTCCGAGGCTAAATTGAAGGCTGATATGAAACTTAAGGATGAGGACCTTAAAGAATTCCTAGGATACTATGGAAAACTGAAGTCCTATTTATTGCAGTTAAGACACGGGCGATTACATGAAGATGTTATGGAATCCATTGAAAACTGCATGGATGATGGGATGGATAGAGGAAACATAAACTATTGACTGATATCTAATGACTTTATTAAAACAGACGGACATTTCATACAAACATGCATGCTTTCTACCATATAGCACAAGAGGTGCTTATTTAAACGAAGTAATGTACAAACAAATCGTATAGTATTTACAACCATCAAGTAGAAATAGCATTTATTAACATACATATAATTTGTGAAAACAAAATGACATCTATATAGTTGCACAAACGATAACATTATAAAAACTTGAGCGTTTATTGATATGAAATGACTCATCACTGTGAAATTGTATAATGACCATAAGCCAAACTCTCTATGCCAGTGAAATACGGTTTGTCGTAGTACGGGGATAGACTAGTCTTGTTGACCGTTATACTATAGAGTTGGTGATCAAAACTACGTATAAGATTCATTTTATGTTTGCAACTACTTTGTTAAAAAAGACAGTGTAAGTACGCTTGATGCCTCATTTGCTTTTCAATAACAGACTTCTTCACTCCCTTGGCCGTACGTTTTTCTATACCCCCGCACGTCAGACTGTACATTTTTGGTTTTAATCCAACAAACTGATCCATAATTTGACCTTTTCATTCGTCTTTCATTTTCCCGAGGACTTTGCAATTTTTCATTCTGAATAAAGGACTGTCTTTTGGGTAATTGCTCGTGTCAAACAGGTCGGCGTTTTCTTGTAGGTCCCTGTACCAGTCTGGTGTTTCTATACGGTACGTGAGGGAGTCAGTTTCAGTAAAGAGTTGTTCGGCATTAGATCCATACTTTTGTTTGATGAAGTCATAATGGAATCGATACATGAATATCTTTGAGACCTCTAGAATACAGAACCCTGCATAAATTGGCCGATTTAAAACAATATTTGTTTTCTTCATGCTGACGGCGACAAGACCTTTGTTAAAAAATTTGAAAGATTGAAAATCTGGTTTAGCACAGACCTAGCGGAGACTTTTAGACGTATTGACCAGCTCTACACTGACTCTTTTTCTCATGTTTTTCATTGTTTTGCCAAAAACGGAGTTGTTCATCAATTTGAAAAAGTCCTTCTCAAAGTCAGTTTTACAGAGAATTCTTTTCTCGGTATTGAAATCAACATAAGGCTTCAGCCACGCAGATTGAGCAAACTCAATAGCTCGATGAATTTTTGTGAGAATCATACCTTTTGAGAGGTAATCTTTCAAATTTCTGTAATGGAGAACATACTGCTGCTAGGTGCAAAGGTTTGGGACAATTTTTCTTTGATGTCCAATTTCTCTCGAAGCTTTCTAGAATGTGGCGAGAGCATGTTCTTTGTATGCTGATGTTTTCGGGTGCTAGGGGATAATCATTGTGTTTGTCATGCAAATGATCCGGATATTCGAGATCAACTTCTAAAATGTAGCCCGTTTCCGCTTTGTCGTCAACGTTAGTTATGTCATACTGTGCGATTTGTTCTGGTGTCAACCATGCAAAGTCTTTTTTCCGGTAGGGGTTCAGACATGCTCGTACCATATAGGTTGTTCATGTCAAGGTATGTGGGCCAAGTGATCGGTTTTGACGGATCGTTCTCTGGGGACATAGGATTATTGGCCTGAGCAAATTTCTTTGAAATCATTGACACACCTCCCTGTATACCCTTTTAAACCATCAGTACCATGTCGATATCATCTAGAAGCTGAAGTTATACCCCGGTCATTGTTAACATGGCTTCCCAAGAAAATTCGGGAGCCGAGTAATAGTGGGCAGGATCCAGTTTGTAATAGTCCAAGCTGATGGACCGAAAATTCTCGAAGACATCAGCTAACAACAACACGTTTGTCTGTAGATATAGATCATGATAATCACCAAAGCATGTCATGTCAAACGTGTTTCAAATGGACAGTGCATGTTCATAATCTGTGTCGGGTAGATCTGAATCTGAAAGTTTATTGTAAAACCGATCTTTTCCAGGTAATTCATTGTCGGCAAACTTTTCGGGTGATGTCACATAATCGTACGGATACACTCCCTTCCTAAGAAGAGGTTTCTTCAGGAAGTGCTTTGACAAATTTGGGAATTTATCTATTCCCTCACTTGCTTAAATTGACACAAGTGTGTCAAGAGAGGCATTCAAGAATTGAAAGGAATCTATGAATCTCAATTTCCCGACGGAGAACGACATTTTTTTCCATATTGTTTGGAATGCAAGACAGGGTTTTTAAAAGCCTCTGCGAGGTTGTCATTTAATTGAGAAACATTCGTACATGTTGAATTTATATATCTAAATGTGGGTTCTGCATAAATGACTTCGTTGTTTTGGTAAAATTTCACACATTTTACAAAAGTGTATTTCATACCTTTGACCTTTTGTAGTCTGTTTTCTAAAATGCCTTTGATAACCATTTGAATGTCACTAAAGAAATGCAAAACGTCCCAAAAATTTCCCGGGTTCGGATCTAATGTTTCCGACTGGGCCTCCGCGTTGTTGACGAGTTGTCCAGGCGTCTCGTCGTGTCAAACATCGATCACATATATCTGTCCTCCTTCCATAACATCTTCCCGGGAGTGGCCGGTGACACCACTTGCACTCTCTTCCTTGATCTCCACAAGGTGCACAAATTATTTTTCCCGGTAGAATATTTTTCACTCTCGAACACAATATACATTTACGTAAACATTGTTTTCAGCAGTTTTACAGTCAGGTTTTCAAGCGTCATCGCGTTCTCCAATATTCTGTCTTTTCGGGGAAGTCGAATAAACACTGTCGTTAATATCGGTTATTTTCCTTTTCCGGTTAGGTGGTGTATTTTCCTTGTGCGATTTAAGATGACGATTGAAGTTATCCTTTCGGTTAAAGCTCATACCGCTGTGAGAACATGTATATTTAATCGAATCGTCGTGAAATGTTCTTTCGTGTCTAAGTAGATGTGACTTTTGTTTAAAAACTTTGTTACATACATCACATTTGTTTTCATTGGATTTTTTCGTATTTTTATCATCTGACAGTTGTTGGGTGAGGAGAAAAAGGCGGCGTAAATTTGGAGACAAACCGTTGATTTCGGCCAATTTGTCTAATTCAGCTACAGTCTGTATTATGTACATATGACGTCTATCCATCTCCATTCGAACGTTACACTGTTACTTGTGTATAAACAGCTGATATATATGTATACACCTTGATTGACAGCGAGATAATGGCGCTCTATAGGTAAAGAGACGTTCGACTGGTTTTCACTATTTTTCCCAAAAGCTGTCTGCTGTGTATATCTTCAGTAGCGAGTGTGTATGTTAAACTTCAACTGATAACGCTTTTATAAGTAAAGGTGTCTAATATACACAAATTGGGAAAACCCGCACTGGGCTTAAAATAACTACGATACCGCAAAATAGAAGCGGACCGAACCGATTTCTCTAAAATTAGACTTGACACAAGGCAGTCCCTCAATGTTCCCTATTTGGGTTGGTATGTATTATTTGATTTAGACACGAAGGGAATTAAAACGTCACAGGGTCAGTCCCTCATCCCTCACTGGTCCCTCACTGATCCATCCCGTCAGGTAGGGATTTACTATAAATAAAGAAGGAGGGATAAAGTGGCGTAGAACTCTCATTTCCTATTCATCAAGGGAGGCAAGTAGGGCTCGTGACCGTTGGGGGTTTGAGTCACGGCACGGCACTCTGTTGTATTATCAAGCAAGTTACTTTAATCGATTCAGCTGTAATTGAGTACGTGGTTTGGCAGTGCTAGAATTTTTGACTACTTACTGTGAGGGCCGAAATGGTAGCACCTGCTGTATGATCCCCAGGGAGTTGAGAAAGATGTTGGCTGGTTGCAAAGGCCGTATAACCACGGATAATGATTTGTGAACCGCTTTGAGACGACATACGAACTAGGTTGTGATAAAGTGGTACATGTATAAAAGAAACTCGAATTATTATTATTATTATTAAGTTATAGTTGTCCCGTACATGTTCGCGGACATCAAAAACATAATCTACCTTCAGTATGTCATTGTGTGAGCGATGAATAAAAAATCTCCTGAATAATACGGGCTTTCCTTCTGTGTCTTGTTCTCATGGTCACAGAAGAGACTAAGATGATATGAGGTCGCCACCTATCAAAAACCAAACTCGTCTCCCCTTTTTTAAATGTTAAAACGAGGACACACTGGTATTGTTTAGTAGGGGGCAGATCAGTTTCGGTATAATCTGGGTCCCTGAATCAGGGACAAATAAGAAAACACCTACATGTACATCTAAAGAGTGTATCATAATCTTAACTTCCTCGAACATATACGTTTATGCATTTGGATTACACCATGCGATTTTCTCCAACCGAAAGGATTGCAAAAAAAGAGAAAAGCTTTTCTGACCCGAACCGTGCAAACCACAAGAAAGAATAAAGGTATTGTTATAATGACTGGTTGTTACGAATATATCAAATAAACAAACAATATCATTTGATCAAACATTTTTATAATTTAATGTTTGTTATTGTGAATACTTCAATTTACATATATTTAATTGCAGTTTGATTTAGTGTGTGATAATGCGGTTGCCAAGTCACACGTTACCATGGCGTTTTCGTTTGGAATGCTGGTCGGTGCTCTGTTGTCCGGGATATTCGGAGACTCGTGAGTATATTTACAGCATCAGTGTATGGAGCTTTCACATTTGTTATATCATTGTATAAATGGTGAATCCAGTCATCGTCAAAATGTGTCGAAGACCATTGCTTTGACGCGATCATATGTTTCTTTGACAATTTTGCAACACTTCTTTCCTGGTATCGAAATGGTAGTAAATCTTCATTTTCATATATGTTTTAAGTAAATATACTACTTACAATAGAAAAGGCGTTGGTGCTGACTTCTTCACTGTCATTGACGTAATAATTTACTTCTGTCAAACGCGTACATCAGAATAAACCTGTTCATGATACAAAATAGTTATATGATGTAGATTTTAAGTACGTATGTCTACCCCGATAATGTGTTCGTTTTAAAGATGGGACTCGGTCAATAAGCAGGAATCTAAAGCTTAAATACGTTTATAAATCTAACTTATATAAATGCGTGTATACCGTTGTAATATTATTTCTCCCACAACCACTTTAGTTTTCCTCACTCCCAAGGAGTTGGTAAACATTTTTAACAGCCTGGACGTGATTTCATTAAACAATATTTTATGACGTCATGTCTTTTGACGTCACGTAACAATGCTTTGCGATGTCATCTTCCATTGTGACGTCATGATTCACGTCAATTGAGTTAGATAAACATAATAACCAACTCGTTGGGGAACCTCTATATGCCTTAGGTTCTTAAAGTGTGCCCTTTTCTTTTGCTATACTTTCTGTGACCTGCTTTACCGTAAGGTCACTTCATACATCTTTATGTTATTTGTGTTGTGTTTACGTCCTCGTAACAACTATGGTCACATGAAAACTATGTTTATAAATAATAGGGCCCATCATGTGACAGTGTTTACCTAATGGTGCTTTGTCTTCGTGAATGCACGTATGCTGATTGAAAACATACGATAATACGATAATATATGCATAGCGATCTGAATAAGGTATAAACATACATTCTATGTGTGATATCATTATGTACATAGATTATATGCTGTTTTCTGTTACGCGAAAGTGAATGCAGACTCAAACATTTTAGGACTCTCGCCGTTATTTCCTTTTTTTTAATTTTACTCAGTTTTATTTCTATTAAGATCTTTAGGCCTTCGCACTTCAAGCATGTAGAGTTAGATTCAGTAGAAAGTTTCATATCACCATCCCGTACTCACTACTAAGTTGAAAGCTATTGTGGTATATTGTTGCCAATGCCTAACGCTTGTGGAGAAATAGTTATGTTATCTATACGCTGACTTGGCTTATTACTAAGTGAACTTGTCACGATGTCTAAGTAATTTTGATGGTAACGCTATCCCGACTTTTTCAAATGACGTTCAATTTCACACTGCTGATATGCTGTGCATCGCAAACCAACAAAAGAATACAGAAGTGTCAACAAAAACGTAGTTCGAACTCAAAATAGATGACAGTAGGATAAAAAAATTGGCAAAAGGAAACATGGATGAATGCGCTTTAAATGTACAAATATAACAAAACTAAGTGTTCTGGAAGTGTGTCTGCTGCTTCATCGACGATATCTGACTTTTATTTCCATGTCAAATTCTAGAATCGAGACAGAAACAACTTAATTGCAAGGCATACGAATTGAAATGTATAGGTAGATAGACATTTATTGAACTTTAACGAGATATTGTTGCCAGATATTGTAACAACCCTCACAGTGATAACAAACATGTGAAAATTTCGTGTTTTTATTCGTTATAGATTTGGACGTAAACCTGTAGTATGCATCACTCTGACGTTTTTGTGTTTCTCTATCGGCTGTGCATGGGCTCCCTCGGCGTATGTTTTGGCCATACTGAGGTTCTTGACGGGAGTAGGATGCAATCTAGGCCCATTGAAACTTATTGGTAAACACGATATTGAGTCAAAACATATTGCCAATTGTATGTTACATTACACTAAGCAATTATGACATAATTGCCTTCAATCTGCATTTTGAATTTTAGAATATGTTATTGTAGTAGTTTTATAACTATTTGGATTTCAATGTTTTTAGCCCCTACCATACCAACAGCTTTATGATGCAGTGTAATTCAATTTTGGCATATTGTATGTACATGTATTACTTAATATTGAGAGTGGAATCACCACCTGTGTTTGTACCTTGCACACTTTTATATGCATTCTATAAAGAAAGATTTCGTGTTGTTGTAATACACGTATCAATATCCGCAGTTCTTTGAGAGTCACTGTCTGACAAAGGGCTAACTAAAATAGCCTATCAAATAACTATCAAATTTGAAGAAAAACATAGATTACAAATTCTCTATAGGAACTCTGGCTAAAGTTGTTTGTTTGAAAAAGAGAAAATCAAAATATAAAATGGCAAATTTCATCTTAACTATGATACCAATGGCGGTGATCACACTGAGGATGTCTTTTCAGGTGGAATTATATTAATTATAGAACTACAAAACCTTTGTTTACAAAGTAAATTCTATCACTGAAAAAAAGTCATCCAACACGCTTGGTCGTTAAAAAAAGGGTATAAATTGTCTAAAATCCATTCAGACGCCCACATCTGGTTTCAACAATAAACACCACCTTCCATACATATTGTTTGTGGGGGGAAATTAACGTCTTTGATGCTAGAAAAATAAGATTTTTTTATCTTCTAAATATTTACTGTTTCTTAAAAACTATACAGAAACTAACCAAAGATGCCATTGCTTCAAGGAAGTATAAACCTGTAAAACAATTACCTTTCGAATAACATTGTTAAGGCCTATACATACATGCTACCTAATCAACAGTTTTAGAGCATTTACATAAAAAATACCAAACCAACATTTTTAGGGCCTTTACATAAAAAATACCAAGCCAAAATTGTTAGGGCCTGAACATAAAAATACCAAACCAACAAAATTAGGGCCTATACATAAAAATACCAAACCAACATAATTAGGGTCCATACATAAAAATATCAAACCAACATTCTTATGGCCTATACATAAAAATGACAAACTAACATTGTTAGGCCTATACATAAAATTATCAAACCAACATAATTAGGGTCCATACATGAAAATATCAAACCAACATTCTCATGGCTTAAACATAAAATACCAAACCAATATTCTTATGGCCTCTGCATAAAAAAAATCGTGTAGTTTATGGCTATTTATTGTGTTTTACTTGTTTTACAGTAATGGAAATGGTGGGACCAACGTGGAGATATTTTGTGGTTTCAGTTCACGAGATTACGTTTACCATAGGGGAGATGATCCTGTGTTGCCTGGCTTACTTCGTCAGAGACTGGAGAACATTACAACTGACTGGATCAGTGCCGTCTGTTTTCGGTCTGCTGTATGTGTTGTGAGTACTTAGTAGGCTCGTCAAGTGTAGACTGTATTTACGTGCGCAGGAGCATTTCAACAGCTCAGTCAGATGGTTTAGAAAATGGCCTAACACAATACTAAGGGAGACACCGAAATCACTTTCAACTGACCTTAACTTGGGCATTACTATGTTAGCTTAAGACATAACGTAATACCTGCCTGAACATAGAACTTTCGCACGTAGAACCATAAATAACAATTAAGTCAAGTTTATCCAAATTTGTTATATTTTTGTATCTCTCCCTTTAAACCTTATCGACTGTTTTTGTTTGGTTGACTTTTCAGACACATCAGTTAGCCCGCTTCTGTCACAAGGTGGTCGACACTGCTGTTAGAATACTAATCCCCGAGGTTTTCTGCAGCCTTTTAACTGGATATTTAATTAGCAAATATGATATAAATCACTACTTTAGATATGAATTATCTGTTGATGCCAAAAATAATAATTGGTACAGTTTTACATGGTTGTATTCCGTCTTTGCGTATTGCAGAGTTATCTTCTCTTGTGAGCAGGTATTGATTGTTACGTCATTGGTTTGTGTGAGAAAATTACGTCGTTTTCCCAAAAATTGATGACGTTACTCTCACAAACAAATGACTTAACAATCAATACTTGCTCACAAGTGCAGATAACTCTGCAATACGAAAAGACGGAATAGGCATTTTCCACTTCTGCTTTATTATGAAATATGTTTGATATCCTCTAGACATCGATTTTTATCTCTTCTGTCGTTTAGTATTATTTGATGTCTTTCTTTAAACTAATAATTGCGTCTTTACTTCATTAATCTCGAAATCCTTTCCGAAATATGCTATCGTGTGGAATGTCATCCTATCGTATTCGGGTAATGATATTTAGGTTAAATTGCACTGTACACTTTATATATGTTAACACTGTCTTCATGTTACACGAGCCTGCAATGTTGTAAGTAAACAAAATGATATATTGACACCGTTTAAAACGCAAGTCAAAGCTTCCATATATATATTTTATTTTTTAAGCGAACAACCTATGCATTATCACCACAAAATAAACAGTGTAGGGAAACAGTGTAAAACAAGGAGATTAGATAACAAAGAAAGGAAATGTAGAAATCTAAATATTTTAATTGGTACAACAGAACAAATGTTGTCTTTTTGGCATCTTGCTTTGCATGTTTTGATTGACAATATGCATTTTGTTTTAATTCATTTACGAATATCTTAACATTTTAGAACCTGGCTAATATAAGGATTTATTATAAGTGACATATCTGTTCTTGATTTCACTGGTATATTAAAATATACAATGTACATGCTATTTTAATACAGCTTACTTCCGGAATCTGTCCGGTGGTTGCATTCGCACGGGAAAACTAAGGAAACCCATCATAGCTTGAGAAGAATGTCCAACTTTAATAATGCCTCCCTCCCTGACGACTTTCTGAAGACAATAGACTCTGGTAAATCCATGGAAGAAGAGACACGCTCTAAAGAGTTTTGCCAGTTTTTCAAATCACAAACTTTTGTGTGCCGATGGCTAATCAATATCTATTTATGGTAAGTGCTGCATGACACCTTTGGTTATATCCATGTCCACCTAATAATTACCACCATTTCACCTAACGTAATTAATTACGGTTTAAACTATATTTATGGTGAATCATTTTCGTGATCCAAATTACCTAAAAGTAACCTACGAACGAAGTGAGACATGTTTTAGTACTGGTTCTTCTTACGGTTATTAGTCCCCCGCCGGTTCCAGGGGGGGGGGGGGACTGTAGGTTTACACTTCGTCCGTCCGTCCGAGAAGTGTTTCCGGGACACATCTTACATATTATTTCATCTGGAGCAACCAGATTTTGCTTTGACCTTTGAGCTTTACTTTTGAGAAAGTTTGTTCGGGCATTTCTTCTATAAAATTTCACCTGGAGTGACCAGTTTTGGTGTACAAGGATATCTTTGGGTGATAGAGTGCGAAGTGCAAGAATTAGGTCACTGTAACATATGACTTGACCTTTGACATTAACTTCTGAAAATGATTGTCCGGGGTATATCTTCTATACTATTTCACCTGGAGTAACTAGGTTTGGTGTAAAAGGACATCTTCGGATGGCGGAGTGCGAGAAGTAAGTCACTATGACCTCACTGTGACCTACATTGTATGCTTCCTGACAGAAGTGTACTGTTTGTTAATTATAGAAATCTTAACCGGTGGGGGACTATGGATTGCCTTGCAATACTTTGCCTTGTTCTTACAATTTCCTGTCCGCGACCGTTATTTATTAAACTATGAAAGATATCTTGATGAAACTTGCAGTATACCTGCATCATCCACATGTGCAGTGTACTGGTTTTAGGTCAAAGATCAAATAAGTGCATACATTTTAGTTATATTTAGCTCAGGTCGTAACTTTTGTACCGTTACATTTTTATTTATTTTTCAAATTCATTATTCGTAAGTTAAGCAGACGCCAAAACAAACGGATTTAACAGCATTAAGACTTTTTACTAAATATGAGATTATTGATCCGGTAAGATCAAGTATTAATCACAGAATAAAAGCGTTATAATGGGAATTTTTCACAAAGATTTCTGAAGGTCGAATGTACCAAAAAGATAGATAAATAAATAGATAAATGAATACAAAAAAAATAATTGTTTGTTTCGAGTTTTAAATTCGCGTATAAACCGACAATTTCTATTATTTATTCATATTTTGTTTGTTTTTCGTTTCAGGTTTGTGATTGGATTTCTGTTTACTGGGTATTCATTCAATCTCGGGGTTCTAGATGGAAGCGTTTACGTCAATTACACCCTATGCGTCATTGTTGAAATCGTTAGTTTAGTTATTTTGTTAATTGTTGGAAACAAAATAGGACGGAAAACAATACACCTAATTTGTTTTTATACAACTGGTATACTGGCGGGGATAACAGTGATCTGCAAAATTAATGCCAGTCAGGGTAAGTGTTAATTTAAAGCGTTCAATTGCCATTTTGCCATATTTAACGTTATTGATAATCACCCTTCTCCCTTTAAAATAATATAAAGATAATAAAACAAGCAATTAAGTATTAAGCAGAATGATGAATTATGAATAAGAGCCCTCCTCAATGAAGACACCATATACTGTCGTGGGGCTGACCCCAATGATCCCAATCATGACAGCCCCTATTAAAATATTTATATATGTATATTTGCAAGCAGTATATATTAATACATATCAATGAAACAAATGGCTGAGGGAATAGGAATAGGAATAGGAAAACAAAGATAAAACAATACAAAAATGATGTTTAATCTAGCAACGTTTTTCATGCCAAAGTAGGACCTTTTTGATTAGCGTCTGTTCCTCGAATCTGCGAGAAAATAGATCCTACAAAATTGATAATTTAAATAAACCCGTTAATAATTAGGGGCCGCGAAAAAAAAAAGAGACTTTTACAATAAACCACAGCACTGTCTACTATAAAATAAAATATGATAATTTTTATTAATTTAGCTGTTGGGTATTGGCTGTCGATTATAGCCGCCATTTTTGGAAGGATGTGTGGGGGAACAGGATTTGGACTGATATTCACGTTTACGAGTGAGTTATTCCCCACTTCGTTAAGGACCTTCGTCATATCAACGGGTTACACGTTTACCATGATCGGTGGTATGGCTGGTCCCTATGTCGCCAACATGGTAAGTGTTACATAAATCAAACGTAATTGTTTGCTACAAAGACGTTGCTTTGTCAACATACATGTCATGTGACTCCCTATTTACAATGGAGCATATTTTAACAGAATGTTCAGGTTTTCAATACATTCGTGATAAATACCTCCATGTCACGGACATTTTTTTAAATGACTCTTTTTGCGGCATTCAAACATATCTTTTAATTTCGATTTTTACATGATATTTTAAACTAAAAATTTGGGCATTTTACTTCATTCATCTTTTTTAACCTTCTAAGCCTATCCTCCTGCTGCTTTTATAAGATTTTGATTTCTTAAATGGTCGCCCCATATTGACAGATTTTCTGGCCCGAAAATGACAATAGTTGTCGATGGACCGTTAAACTCAAATAAAAAAATGACCTTGTCAAATGTTAAGAACAAATTATTTACATTAACCAACGATGATCCCTCGTCTTGACAGAAAATGGGTGGCCCTGTTTGGGTCGTTATGTAAAATGCTGCTCCTCCTACTTGACATATTTAAACTTCAGTTCATAATACAAGTTTAGGAGCCGGTTACAATTCGATCATCCGTTCAGATTAGCGTATTGTAAATTAATGATCGAGTCACAATACTGTTCAGACATAGTCTTATACGAGTTATCTCCCCTTATACGAAAAACGCTACGAAAGCACCAGAGACATAAATCAATCTCTTTCCTTGATATATATGAAATTCTCTCTACAATACCTGTCAACCGAGTATTATAATGTTAATATTATATTGTTTCGATATTCGAAGATTTTTTGTATCGGTTTTCCAATTGAAACGTCTCAGAGTGACCAATTTTCTATTGTTTGAGTCCATGTTTAAGCGTTAAGGATCTATATTTATTTTAAGAAAGTAATAAAGTAAAATAAACTCCGATTTTCTTATTTGACTCCATGTTAAGTTTCTAAAGTCTATGGACATAGAAAATGAAGGAACTTATCATTTCTATGTGTGTGTGTGTGAGCGTTGTGGCGGTAGGGGCGGTGTTGGGGGTATTTAAGTTTCTTACTGTTGAAGACGTAATATCTGTGTGTTTTATTTTGGATTTATAGGAAGAGCTTATCCGTTTCGATATGAACAACATTTTGCCGTTCATTGTGTTTGGGACGACATCGTTGATCGCCGGATTCTTGTGTTCATTCCTGCCGGAAACTTTGCATCGAGACTTACCCCAGCACATGAGTGACGTTCTTAAAAAACAAGAGACTGACTGTAAAGAACCTGAAGTGTTTTCAGCGCACATGTGATCCAAGTAGAAAAGAAAAGTCGGTTATCGTGAGTTATAAAACAAAAGGCCCATGCAAATGAATACAGGAGCCTACAATATGCTACAAATGAAGGGGGGGGGGGGGGGTATTTAATTTGAATACAAATATTTATAGTATATAAGTATTTATGACAGTGCAATTTTTCAAGAAGCATATCTAGTTCCCCTTTTTTGCTCTGACTCTCAAAGCACAAACTTCGTTTATGTTATAGGGCATATATTTTGTATTGTTATTAATTATTACTAATATATATACAGAGGTATTAGGTTTTGTTATACATGTTTTGTATTTGCATATGTTGTCTGGTGTGAAAGATGGTGTAAGGACCTTTAATGAATCTGCCTGTGTATGTGACATGTACTTACCTGTGTGTGCATGTGAGTGAGTGAGTGAGTGAGTTTTGACACGTGACTAAGGACGGGCCATATGATTGGTCAGGACGACGGATGCCTCAGTTTACCTGTGTAAAGGCTTCGGCCAACTTGGGCACTCTGCTCCTGACCAGCTGATATGAAACACGTACATTTTGTAGTTTGATTTTTGGGGGAAAAGTCAAAAGTCTTTAGCTGGTAAGTTTTTATTCTATTTGTTTAATAGCTTTTTGTTCATCTAATATAACAGAAAATGTAGTGAATATACTTTTTCTTGTAATTCAATTGTGGCTATTTAATTTAATCTTTTTCTATCTAAAAGTAATTGACATTTTGTCATTGAACACTTAAATTGAGTATGTAAAGATATGTCTTTTTGTTAATTTAGCTTTCTATGAATTGGTATCAAACTTATAATGGTAAATTTTTATTTATTAGGGATATTTATATTATTTTAGTGTATAGCTCCTGGTTGAACTTCAAATTGAACTCAGTGAGGGGAATTGAGGGAAACCTCCACACCATAGCTGTGGGGTGAGTGTTCAATAGGTCTAGAATGTTTTAATGAGTGTATATTACTATGTTTTTATTTATATGTATCTGGAATTTTAAAAATGTGCATGAGTAATTTGCAATAGTAAAAGTATAGGTTTGATAGTAATGATATTTATGTAATTATTTAAAGAATTAATGTATAACCTTTTGGAAAAGATAACTGAATATAAACGTTCCAGCTACAGATTTAGAAATTAGTATATTAATAAATGTCATTGTATATATGTACATTTGATAGGGTAAAATAGATTTATGTTGTATAATAGCATTTGTCGATAGAGTTATTTCCCTTCTACTATGTTATGTATGTAAGTATGTGAGGTATGTTCTTTTGCATGTAAGATCTATTTGTTTTGTCAACAGGGTAAATTAATGATGGATTAATAAATGTATCAAAATAATTCACCGGATCTTAGTTGTGATTGTGAACCCCGGTAATATTTATATACATTAGAATTCCCTTTGGTACCGTTGATGGTTCATACCAAATCTAAACAGTTTACACGTTCCTAGGAATACTCATTTCAGAACTTTCCATACGTTATACTCACACTTCTGTCCATAGGTCAACTATCTTCATTGATATAAAATTGAAGTCCGTCTATACAGGAGTAGTTCAAACCAAATCTTTAGTAGTATTCATATAAACAAAGAGATTACGGTTCTCCAACGATTCATGGTTGGTTATCATGTTTATCTACATGTAAATGGAGTAAGTTAATTTCAAAATAGAATAAAGACACGAGTTTTACCGAATGTCTTTTACGATTTAAAAATTAGTTATAACTTACGCGATTTAGATAAACATAATTTTGAACCTTCAAATAAAAAAGGTAGAAGTAGACCAGGTGTTTCGAGATGGTAAGCGTAATAACATTACGCTTTCTTCGTAAAACTTTGTGCTCGCAATTAAGAGAAATTTATTTTCAATATTGATAGCAATTATTAGTAGATTTTGTAATTTCTGAAGATTGCAAGTTGATTAAGGCGAAACCTAATCCCTCTCAAAACTTGATTTGCAGATTTTTTTTCACTGTGTCCTAATCTTTGGAGATATGAAATAAAATCTTAAGGGTTCCTTCAATATTGTGTCCTTATTTACATATATGATAAACTAGATGCCAACTAGCCCATTCTTGGATTTGAAACCTGGAAATTAAAAGAGCTCTAGTTGAGAATCAAATAGTCAGAATTGCTATTGGAATGTCATATATAAATGTTTAGTTCACGTTTTAGTCTAATTTCAAAATTGTATTCAATACTGGGATTTCAAGTCATCTTTTTCTCAAAATCACATATGCAGGCAATAAGATTCGAATAAATCATAAAAAAAATTGTTTTGACTTTAAACACTTTATTTAATTTAAAAATCAAAAGTGATTTGTGTTCAACAGTAATTAGTCTAAAATAATCTTTTAAAATGTTTTGATGGAATATCTTCATCCCATCAAAAAACAAAAAATAGGAGATAGGGACAAACAAGTAATATGAATAGATATGAGCATAGGGGAAACAATGACAAGCCTTCGATAGTTTTGATACCTAATTGAACTGAATTTGTTTTAAAACAATTGCGAAACAAGTTCTACGAACTTGTATTAATCATTCTTGTTGGTCCGGATATTGGCGCTCAGAAGATCTTAATGTGGGAGGAAAGAGAAAACAACGTGGTCGGACAGGTGATCCCATACCTTTTTATGTTCAATCGGGAAATCGACCCCCGGTCGCTTTGATGAAAGGCGAGTGCGCTACCCACTTCGGCACCTTGCACCGTGATGTATATACATGTAACTTGTTGTATATCATATTATATAATATTGTGTTTATATTTTAAATCTAATTATTTCTTTTATGTTTACATTATAAATCGACGTACCTTTAAAATGACTTGCCACGTTATTGATACTGTAGTGTCGATGTTATGACATTTTGAGTGATATTATAATCTAAACTGGCTTTTGAGTAACTTCCTAATCTGGGGAGACTAAACATACAAACAAATATGTCTGGTATTGCTGTGTTCCGTGGTTAGTAGATGTCATTGTCTAGATCTTCCGAGGGAAATATTGACCTCCGAGACGTAATCCTTGAGATGGCTTGTAATAAAACTAATCACATACTTGTCCGTAATATGGGTTTGTTTTGCATGTGCGATACTGCTAGCTGTGCATAGGCTATATCCCGGACCAAAACATATTCCGCCTGGCACGCGCAATATCAGCAGTGCGCGCAATATCCGTCCGGCACGCGCAATATCCGTATCACTTCCGGTTAAACACTTTTCAGAAAAATCACACCTCATACTGGTAGTGTGATGAATGTACATATCGTAATCCTACCTTCGCTGATTTAGCATATTATTCAGGTTAGATACGTTGATCTGTTGGCGTTAATCATTTGTGTTATGTCTCCGTAATTCGAACGCTTAGAAGACAGATAGTTTTCGAGGTACAATCAAAACGTACAGGTGATTATACCTCACTCACCGCTAAATGGCGCTAGGATAGCAAGAGGGTATAAATAGGCAGAATCCAGCGACAATC